TCACAAAAATGTATTATTTTCACGTCTTTTTAAGCCATTCGTTACTCGCGCTCTCCAGGCGCGTGCGCTCACAGTCACATCCAAAGCGCGTACTGCGAGTACCAAATTGAGAAAGTACTGTCGGTTTTGTCTTAAATTAATGTAAACAGTTGCAAAATAAAACGCACGAGTATCAGTATTGGATCCGTGAAATAGGTCTTGTGACAGCAGCCTAGCTGTGCCGTCTTTTATTAATGTTAAACAACAAAACTTACTGCTCTTGACTAAATAATGTTTTGTTGAATAACTTTTAATGTTAATTTACAGTTGATTCAATTTTTGTAGCCTATTTAAAACACGTTCATAATTTAGAAAATGTAGTTAATACTTGCATCATTAATGATTTATTTTATCCACCTGCGACCCACCCGCAAATAATCAGAATGCATTTTTTTATTACCCGACCCACCCGATCCGCGGATTATCCGCAGCGCCCGCGGATATAACCGCCATCCGCGCATCACTAGTGTGTGTGTGTGTGTGAGAGAGAGAGAGAGAGAGAGTGTGTGAGTGAGTGTGAGTGTGAGAGAGCTCCTGCAGGTGTTTGTATGCCTATTCTGATTACTGTTGTTTGGAGTGTGTATGAAAGTTAGCTATTGACCTGAGGTTGAACTGAATATGCAAATATTGTAATGGGAGGAGCATGTGCAGGTTTTGTGTTTCTTGGCAGCAGCTCATTAGCTGAGGCTTTTAATAAGTGTTTGGTGAGGTGTAGATGATGAATAAAAAAGGAAAACTGACACCAACTCTTGGGCTGATTTAAAAAACCTCGGAAGGAAACGTTTTTTAAACGGTAGTTTTCCAGGCTTCACCACAAGGGGGTGGTAACGCCAAGAAGGAAGAACAAATCCTTGCTTGATGAGAGATTGTAGTCAAGTTTTATGCGAGTGTGCACGTGTCGCTGGGACGTTCTATGAGTTTTAGGAAGTTTGTTGCAACAGAGTATTCTATATAATTAAAATTATATATTTTTATATAATTAAAATGTGAAAATTAATTTAAAAGCCGTTTAATTTAAGGTGTAAACATTGTGTTTAAAACCAACTGTTGATAACTTGTTTTATTTGAGCAGTGCTATGCCCTCAACAGAAAGAAAAGAAAAACAACAGAAACGGAACTTATTGATATCCATTAACATTTCTTTCTCATTTTTATTAGAATTAATGTGGATAGACGACATGCAAGTCTACCACTGCTCTTCAGACAGATGTAAATAATGGTGTGTTGAAGAAGCTTCAGCGTTGCTCCATCTGTCACGAGGCCTGTTTATCAGTAAGTGACCCTGCTGCAGTGCAGAAGGCTTTGCCCGCATTTCCTCTTCTCAATGTCACATTCCTCTTCTGTTATGTTTGAGCAATCTGTATTATTTGTCCTTCAGTATTGGAGCAAATGGCTATTAACTTGAACAAACACATCTCAATGAATAATTCACAAAAACAAACATCTTGCACCCAGGCTAAAAACTTTTCATTTTTGCTATCAGTAAGACTGTGAGAGTCTTCCTATATGGCAGATGGAGAAAATCGAGAATTTGATTGTTCTCTAATCTCTGAGAATAAAAATGCAGTCTGAAATTGAAATATTGATCTTTTACATTGCAATCACCTGGTATATTACACGAGAGACAGTATGTGTGAGCAAGAATATTAATCTCTCTTCTCTGGGCCTTTGTTTTGTTTTTGCTTTGTTTTTTTCTCCAGTTTTCAGTGTTTGACCATGTCTGTCTATATGAAATAATTTGTCCCTGCATGGTTTCCCCATGGATATGGTGCCCAAATAACCACATAATTAATCTCTCTCTGTCTTTACCACATTTGTAATCATACAACATCATCATTTTGACATAATCTGTTTAACTGATACTCAGCTGATTGTAGAAAATATAATTATTTATCTTGTTTATTGAGCATATTGAGCTAAAAAACTTTTTTTAAATGCTACTTAACCTTTAATTGTAAAGAATTGAGGGCCCTTTTAACCTATATGTGCCAGAAGACAGTTTATTCATATATTTAATGCAGATGTTTACTTAAAATGATTATATTAAAAAACATTAATTAGTGATAAAGACATAATTTTTTTTAATACAAATGTACAGTCGGTAATATTTGATATATACTGAACATACCGGTCAAGATTTAAAAATAAAATATAAAGAAATTAATAGTTTTATTCAGCAATGATGCATTAATCAAAAGTGGCAATGGAAAAAAAAAGGTTACTAAAAAAAAATGTATCTCATTTTTCACAAAAAAATTAAGTGGCACAACCATTTGTCAAAATTATAATAAAATAATATAAGAAATATTTATTGAGTACTAAATCATAATATTATAATGACTTCTGACACATGTGACACTGAAGACTAGAGTAATGACGGTTGAAAATTCAGCTTTGCCATCACAGGAATAAATTACATTTTAAAATATATTAAAATAGAAAACAGTTACTTTAAATTGTAATAATATTTTACAATATAAAGTTTTTTTTCATGTATTTGTAATCAAGTAAATGTAGCCTTGATGAGACTTCCTTCAAAAACATGAACCAACCCCAAACTTTTGAACAGTAGTGTAGGACTATAAATAAATATATAAACTTGTTTTTCTTGTATCAGTCATTTAAAGAAACCTTCTCATTCTTCTACACAATGCAAGTCAAAAGAGTGAAACGTTGGTCATTTTAGATGAGGAAAAACATCCTCTGTTATATTCAGATGTCAAGTAAAAAGTTGTTCATGAGTTCAATGACTTAATCACGATTTAATCATTTCCGTTCAAAGCGTTTCCTCCCTTTCTATCCCATCATGCCCTAATATGGGTAATCTAGTTAAACATTTTTTCATGTCTTATTTAAGCCTTTTCCTCAAAATGTGTGTCTTTATTTGAAGGCTGTGGTGCATGAAATGGGTCTTTAACTCAGTGGAAACTACAAGCTTCTTCAAATCACATAAAAAAAAAATCTGTGCTGCCTTTTTTATGAGAAACAAAATAAACTCATGTTTCTGTTGTGAATATTATGGGCAAATCAGTCAATCAGTGCATATGACTATCTATATTCATATAGTCGCACCACCCTGAGAAAACAGCAGCCACCCTCAATGCATCCTGGGAATAATATGACATATCAGGCACATTTCTGTTTATCCCGCTCGAGGGAATTGAGCCCACAACTTGTCTCGTCATTTTAAAGAACATATCGAAACAAGTTTCTGTATTGGTTTGCAGTTGTACACTGTCAACAAATTTATTATTTTTTTTTTTTTTGTACTTATTTTTTTAAAGTTGATTATTAGAGTATGTTTCACAAAAAAAAATAGTATTTCAGTTTTGTTTTTTTTTGGCATCAGAATTTAATGTTTAATTCACTGTTGCAAGCCGTTTCTTTGTAATAATTTGTGAAAATTACTAGCAATTTCTGAGTGAAATTATTTTTTTTTTTTTTCAACGTATTGGACCATGTTCTTGATTCTTGAGGTTTCACTTGTTTTTTTGTTTCCCAGTCTGCTCAGTTAATGCTCACACAATATCCTGTATGCAGTTTCTTTAACGCAGAGACTCAAAACTTGTGTACAGCTAAAATTATATATTTTCCAGGATGTTGAACTGAACTGAATACACAAACAAACGCAACAGTCCTCTTCAAGTTTACAAGTACTGATATATTTCTCACAAAACAATCATAGCAAAACAGATGCCATTTCTGTATCCTAAACACATATGTTTATCTTCCGCTCCTATCTTTTGCTAGCTGTAGTTTTGGAACCACACATTTCCCACGTTCCCAAATGGTCATTTCCCATTTTTAGGGAGCAATTCCAAATCAGAGTAAATAGTTTTCAAATCTATTTATGGTCCCCACAGATTTATGGTCTCGGGTAATATTCCTAAAGCATGCAAAAGAAAAATATTACAAATCCGTGTTACAGTACAGTTGTTTGGATATCATACAGCTGGAGCTGTTGGGAGTGCTGTTGTAGACTAGAAATATCAGTATGGAACAATACTTAGCTTGTGTCTGGCCACGAGAAGACCACAAATGGAATGTTAATGAGGACTTTGATACGTGTCAATAAAGGCCGATATGTAGCAGCGGAGGCATTTAAGCACTAATGGGGTCTCATTTGCATGACCTGAATCAATAGGATTGTTTGATGGCTTTAGCTTCATCAGGAACGCTATTGACGACAAGGTGACACCGGTGACATGAGCATCGCTTTGTTTATTTGTGTTGTCGGTTCATTCTGGTGCACAAAATGGTGACAGACATCGATCTAGACCTTTCAAGACATCATTTAGCATTCGAATGCCTATAGGATGGATGGCTCATCCTGACAACACCAGCAGGGAATTCTGTTCTGTGGGAAGTCTGTTTTCCTCTTTAAGTAACTCACAGACTAAATAAAGACTCGTGTGGTGGGGAAAATGCCAAATGCATAAGAAAATATCATCTGCGGCTAGTGTCTAGTTTTAACTTATTTGAATCAAATCGCTGTAAATGCTTGAGAACATGAAACCACATCTACAATATCCACAGGTTCTCCTTAGAATAACGAGGGAAAGATTCCAAAAACATTCAGTAGTTTTTCCATCTGAAAGTCAATAAAATAACGCAAGGTCTTACAAAGAAAACTCCCACATAAGGTTGCTCAAACTGAAGAACAGGTGAACATTTTAAACAGTATTAAGAAGCCAAACTGACCTACAAAGAGATAAATGGACTGTAGAACCAGAAGATGGACATACACGAGAAAAGCAATGAAATGTAAGATTCCACACTCTTTAGAGTCTTTAAAGAAGTATGAAACACAAGCCAGATGCATCTCTTTTCCTCCTTTTTTTACATTTTCCTCAGCCTGTCCTGAGGGCATTAGACTGAAGGTCACTGTCCTGAAGG